TCCCAGGACTTTATAAAATGTAGAACTTTGGAGCAATGTATTAGGATATCTGGTGAAAGAAATTTCTAAGCAGCAGTCAAGCTGCTGCGTGCCTACTTTTGACTGCTTATAGTGAAATGAGAGAGCAGAGATGACTTCAACATAGAATTTATAATTAAGTACATGGGAAAGGGTGGAAAGATTTGGAAAATTCTTAGCCTGCCCATGTGGTAGAGAATGACAGCATTTTTATAAGAGAAAATCTAAGGTGTGGCCAAGTGATCTTTTGCTTAAGAGATTAATAGGGAGAGAAGGAAGCAAGGTGCTATTTAGCAAGACATTGGGAGAAGGACCCAGAAAGCAACCTAGAGATCTTCAAGTCTGTCCCTCCCAGAGATCTAAGAGGCCTGAATGGTTTCTGGGGATGGGCCTGGGGCATTCTCCAAGGGCTTACTGCACAGAACCGCCTGAGTCTGCACTGCTGCTGCTCTCAGCATTTTGGTACAGTGCTCCATGGTGTCTCTAGCTATGGTTCAGGTGGCCCCAGGCATGGCTAAACCTGCTGCTCCGGAGGGCAAAAATCTGTAAATGATGGCCACGTCACATGGTATTAATTCTTCAGAAAAACAGAATGTGAGGTCTCCGGGGCACGGCTACTTAGATTATCCTCAGAGCATGCCCCTCTAGATTTCAAAGGCTGTTGTGGATGGCCATGGACCAGGCAGAGACTTGTTGCACACAGTCCCCAGTAGGGCAGTGTCTGTGGGAATTGGACCACTACCAAGACCCTAGAGTTTTAGAATTATGAGTGTGGGCTGGAGCTGGGAGATCTGCAGTCAAGAGACTCCAACCTGAGAGAGCTGATGCATGGTCTGCACCCATCAAAGCTGTGGGGTTATGGCGGTCCAAGGCCCTGGGGGCCTGCCTCTGTACTAGATGTATCCATGAAGTGGGATATGGAGTTAAGAATTTTTTTTTTGGAGCTTTGAGATTTAATGATGTTTACCCTGTTAGGTTTTGGATTTTCTTGGGACCTATTACTCTTTTCTTCTTGCTTATTTCTCCCCTTCAGAATGAAAATGTCTGTCCTGTGCCTGTCTCACCATTGTGGTTTGGAAGTAGACGACTTGTTTCAATTTCACAGATTCACAGAAGGAGGGAATTTACCATAGGATGAGTAGTGCTGTGAATCTCACCCATCACTGATTCACGTGAGACTCTGGACTTTGGACTTTTGAGTTGATGCTGGAAGGAGCTGAAATTTTCTAGCTGTGGGGGTRGAATGAATGTATTTTGCATGTGAGAAGGATCTGAATTTTAGGGGGTAGGGAAGAATGCTATGGTTTGAAGGTTTGCCCCCAAATTTCATCTGTTGGAAACAATCCTTCCATCCATACGTTAAGTTACCTGGTCTCAAGTATTTTGTTAGAGCAACAGAAAATGGATTTTCATGGCATGTAACCATTGCTAAGTCATAGGCCTTGTGGAGTTGGAGAATGGTGGGTGGGCACAGAGAAGGTACTGGGAGATGAAGTGGCAATGTTCATGTCAGGGAGAGGTGGCGGCCACTGAGATGGAGGGAAGTGGATGGCTTTCATTTGCTTCTACAACCAAAGCTAATCCAAAGGCTGGTGGACTGTGTGGAAAAAAGGTATGAGAGAAAGTTGTAAATGGAACTGTTACTGTTGGTTTTACTTGAGTCTAAAATTGAGACGCAGGTGGAGCCTGGGCCCGTCTATACCTTTAGGTTAGGTTTTGTTGGTTTCAGTGATGGCGGCCAGTTCCATAGGTCTTTCTGTTGTGTCAGCATCTGTCCCATGGCCTGGTGCACCATCTCTATGGACCTCTCTTGGTGTCTGCTGGTGGATGAGTCACTGAAGGAAGGACCCTTGTGGGGTTGGACAAGATGAAAAGTGCTATAACAACTAAGTTGTTTCTTAAGTTTTCTGTGTGTTTGAATTTGAATGTCTGACGTTGGCAGTTAGGTGAAAAATGTCCTGCATTTTAACTTACTTCCTCTGCTGTATTCCTTTGTCCTCATGTTCTGAGGAGTTACAGCATTTAGACTGTGCACTGTCTGAAGGTGCCTCCCAATACAAGTGGTGTGAAGTGTAGCCTTTTTGTATTTAATTTTTTTTTTTCTTTTGGCAGTGCTGGGGGTTGAATTTATGGCCTCGAACATACTAGGCAAGTCCTCTTCTACTGAGCTACACCCAACCCCTGTATTTAATTATTGATTCACTTTTAAGCTGTCTACAAGTTTTAGCAACAGCATTCTGAAATTCTATAATTACTTTTTATAGGAATTAGCCTTTTCTTCAATTTCATTTTATTCATGTATTTCTTAATTTGTCCTCATAAATGCCTTCTTACTTAGTGAAAACACAGTCGTCTCTGATATCAGTCCAATATGGAATTTAATTTTTGTAAATTAAAGGTATTCTGTTGCCTTTTGAGAAAGCCTAGACTTCACTTCAGAGCTGTCTGGCAAAGAGGCTGAAAGTCTTTGTGGTGAAAGTTGTGATTTGTTGGGTGTCTAAATAGTCACTGTTATTACTCTAAATATTTAGTGTGAGAAAGCTAGACAGAAGGAAAACTTTATAGGAATTTTTGGAAGATATCAAAGATCCTCGACAGGAATCAAGAGGCATTTTGTTCCTGAAATATTTTAGAAGTAAATAAAACATTTATTTTTGCCCAGGTTAGTATATTCTTTAATAGGATCTTAAGTTTTTGTCACGTCTGACTGGAAAACTGCAAGAGAAGCACTCTCTTTACTGATCGGGGAAATAGACAGACGTGAGTTCCATCTGGACTCTGTAGGTGCCTGTCCCATGGTCAAGGTCAGCGTGTGAAACGTGCTGATCTGTGTTCGGGGTGTTTTCCTGCTGGGTGTAGGTGCCGATGAACTGTCCTGAACAGTGCTCAGAGGTTGTGTTTGCAGCGGGCTCTTTGATGGCAACCGGTCAGCACTGAGGTTATTGTCAAGGGATGTATCTTAGTCACTCTGTTCAGTTTATCAAATTCAAAATTCCTATTGTCTTTGAAAATTGAAGTTTCTTGTCAACTTTCTTGAAAATAGGCAAAAATGGTTGAAGTAGTGATGAGCTTGACAGGACAACTCTATTTCCTTTTACCTTAATTATAAATCAATTTCTTGCGCCCAACCACAATTAAAAAAAAACCAAATCTCCTAAGCATATGTTCTGATTTTGAAGGCATATGCTTGGCAGATGCATTGGGAAGTGGTCCTGGGGCATTCGGATCAGAATTCAGGAAAAGATTAGGTTCCCTGGAGATGGAAGTCCCTCAGGATATGAGGATTACAAGTGATTCATAAGCTGTCATTATGGTGACCCAAAGTCCATTTCCCAATGTTCTGGCCCACTGCCATTTCAAAAAACCATTTTTTTTTTTTTTTTTTACTGTGTACCTTGCTTTTTTACCTTCCTTTCCCACCCCCCCAAATTGTATTCCACTAGCTACTTGAATTTCAACATGTTCAGGATGACATCATCATTGTGATACTTTTCAAATATTCTAATTCTTTTTTTTAAAGGATTAAAGTAGGTACCCTTAATAAATTACCTTGATGTATACATATGGAGCCTTCAGTAGTCAAATGGTCTTGAATTTCCCATTTGGGTCCTGAAAAGATCAAGATCCTCTTTAAACATCAAGCTTGCAGGTTGCAGGTGTTTAACTTTGTATCTGATTATGAGGAAATTGTTTGGCATGTTATAGGTCATGATAACTAGTATTTGTTTAGTGTTTACTGGATGTTGGATCTTGTCCTAAGTCTTTATGTGCATTAACTCATTTATTTCTTGTCAAGGTTCTACAAGGGTGGTACTGTTTTTTTTTTTTGTTGTTGTTGTTTTTTTGGTTTGTTTTGTAACTGGGGACACTGAGGCTCAATGAGTTTAATAATTTGCCCAAATATCACCTGCTGTGTCAGGAGCTGTCTGGTTTTCAAGGTTGAGTTCTTAGACAGGGTGCCTTACAGGACACACCAAAATGGCTGTATTTGCAGATTGTTTATCCGGATTCTGAGCTCAGGACTTCTTCCAAGACAGGTAGGAAGCTGGTAGGCTTTATTTTCACCCTTTAATATTAGGGAAATTTAGTTGTTCTTCATTGAGTGACCTGTTCAGAGCACACCCATGTCACAAGTGTACCAGATAGGGCGGGAGACACCCAAAACAGCAACAACCATAATAAAGTCTCCTTTTTTTATGCCCTTGCTCTGTATTAATCACTCTTGTAAGTCATTTAGGAATATGTTCCATCCAGCAATATTACACAGTGGCACCCCAGTGCAATATAMTAAAATTCCCGATGAGGTGGGTTTTATCCCTAGTGCCCTACTGAAGAGCCAGGGTTTGGGAAGGTGAATGAATCGCCCAGTTCACTACAAAGCTTCCTCCTGAAGGACAAGGGTTTCTCACCACCCTCTCCATGACTGGAACAGTACCTTGGACTGCCAGGGCATAGAACTTAAGTAAATGAATCAAAGTCGATGGGAAGGGGTAGGAGCCAAGCTGCAGGCCTGCCTCCCTCTGCTGTGGGGAATCTGTGTGCATTGTTCTCTGCTCAGTGATCCTTTGTGGAGATTGGTGTGGGGTTTCATGGGCTGGTGTCTGGTCTGAGGTGGAGACAAGTCTCCGTGGGGTTGGTGGAGAGTATGGGTTTATCTGGGAGAATCCCTTGAAGGATGTGGTCTTTGACCTGGGCTTGAGACTTGACTTCTAGGTCAACTTCATCTTGAGTCTTTCCTTTGATCTTCTGGTGCCTTGGTGGAAGTGGCAACTAGAAACCTGCTTTTCGTGGACTCGCTTTCTTGTTTTGTTCTTGGGAAGAGTCTTTTAAACCATTTCCTTGGGGGGAAAAAAAATTTCAGTCCCGGGTATCCGTGTGAAGTGCACATTTATGTCTTAAAAGTTTGATCCAAGTTCAGTGATGGTCTCTTTGACTTTTCAGCTTTGGTGCTGACAGCGATGCTGAGTGGGAGGAGACAGCCCTGGGGAGCAGCGACCCAGTGACTGGAGGGGTTCTCACCTGTGTTGTCAGTGAATCCTGGTTGGCCTCCCAGGCAGTCAGAGCCGCTGAGCCAGCTGCTGACAGGTAAGTCCTGGGTGTTTTCAGCTACAGATAGTGCCTTTCTTTGCAGGAGAGTTGTCTGTTAAATATTGATCAAGGCAAGGTCAATAAATGCATGTCACTATAGACAAAGACTAACACTAGCTCCTTTATTCTAGGGTTCCCAAGGGCGTTTCCTTGCCTGTCTGTTCTTTCTCTTGCTCCTCTTTGGCTCCGTTGTGCTTGGGAACACTGAGCTGGGATGGGTGTGTTGGGAGAGCTGGGCCACTTGATCTTGCAGGTCCCTTCTGCCCTTCCATGAGGTTGGGGTATCAGTGCTGCCTCCTGGGTTGTTCTGGGCAACTTGTCACACTGTGGGCCTTCAGAGTTGGTAGCTATTGTTTGTAAAGGTGGGCTACCACAAATTGGGCTGGGGTGGAGGGCATCTTGACCTCTGACTTGTTTCCCACAAGGTGTGTGTAGGTCTGCTGTGATCTTGAGTGGGCATGGGCTTCACTGACTGAGCTGAGAGGACCTGGGATCCAGGGCAGGACACCTGACCTGCATGCTCTTGTTTCTTCCCATTGTTCACCAAGATAGATGTTACAATTGGGTTCTCCAAGGATGAGTCCAAGAGAGAAAGTCGTAGCTTTTAAAAACTTCTATTTATGTTGATTTGTTACATGGCTTCACATTGCACCCCAAGTCCTTGCCAGACAGGTACTAAAACCTAATCTGATGGAGATGTTGATAGTAGCATGGGTGGTACTCTCTAGGCTCTATGCTCTAGAATGTACATTCTCTCTAAGACAGTGCCAACCCCACCAGGGCCACTGGCATCCCTGAAAAGCCTCTGCATTAAAAAAACAAAAACAAACAAACAAAAAAAAACTGACCCAAAGCTAGACGCAGTTAACTTGGGAATGTTTTAGAATGTATTTGATTGAAATTGTTAGGAGGATTAGTTCTCAATTTCCTAATTTGTTGGTATTCATTCCATAAGTTACCGGTGCACACCCACCTAGTACCAGGTATTGTCCTGTGTGCTGCAAGCACCATGGGCATTAGATGGCCAAAGTCCCTGCCTGGAGGGAGTATATTTTTAGTAGAAAGATTTTCTGTCAAGAGCTTGTATTCTGTTTCACCTAAAAGTTGAAGCCCAATTCCTTAGGGTTTTAGAAGGATGATACAAAACAAGAGGGTGTGAGAGGAACCAGCTTTTGTCAGAGCAGCTTATGGTTTGCAGAGTGTCTCAGCTAAAGGCACCCAGGCCTGGTTGTAGACGAAGCTATAGGTGGGAATCAGGGACCCTATGTGATGGAGCCTCACAGGCTAGATTATGAGGGGGTTAGGCGGGTATCAGGATAGACCTTGCTTTTTTCTTCAGTGTTCACTGCATCTCAAGAGCCATCCCTGTTTATTTGTGGTCATAGTGAGGAGAGAAGAAAGGGTTAGTTAGTCCTCCAGTTTTATCTGGATTTTACGTTCCATGTTTTCATTTACATGTGGTCAAGTGTAACCTGAAGTCACAGTTATGGTACAGTAAGGTATTTTGAAAGAGAGACCACGTTCACATAACTTTTATTATCTTATCATAATTGTTGTTTTATTATTAGTTATTATGATTAATCTCCGACTGTGCTTAATTTATAAATTAAGCTTTATCACAGGTGGTATATATGTGTAGGAAAAAACATGGTATTATATTGTTCAGTACTAGCTGCCATCTCAGGCATCCACAAGGGGTGGGGAGGGGGTCTTGGATTATCCTGCATGGATAGTGTAGGACTACTGTGTGAGTGTCTTAACCATTCCATTTTCTTTCTGTTCTCCTACTCTTGGAACTAAAGAGGACCGAGTGTTTGCCTTAAGCCTGTACCTCTTTGGGTCTAGTTTGGCTCTCTTCTACCTCCATTTTTGGCTGCTCATTTTGTTCTTATTAGAGAATTTCTAGGTTCAACAGTTGAGTTGGGTTCGGAGCATGACATCCTCAAGCTCAGTATTCAGTGCAGCAGCTTCCCCCTAGTGCTACTGCACCTTGAGGAAGACACTCTCCTGCTTATGGCTGTTGGGGACTGACCAGCCTCCCCAGGGTGCAGCTCTCAGTGGGCTTTTCTCATAGAAGAGGGTGGTTCTCTGCTTGCTCTGCTTACCCTGGAAGATTCAATCGGAGGAGGGCGCATTACTGTGGCTACACCCATTCTTATATAAGCCGTCATTTCTCTGCCCAGTTGCAATGGTTGATCGTTCTTTCTCATTTATGGTATACTTTAAACCAAAACATTCTGAGACTCTAACTTAAAAATGATGTGACTTCTACCTTTTTCTTTCCTAAGTTGGAAAATTGCAGCAGCTGTGTCGCACAACTGGTCGGTAAGGTCAGATAGTCATGATCTGGTCTTTGAGAAACTCTTGTACACTGTGGTGTTGTATCTTGCTGCCTTTCATGACATCTTGTTGTTTTTGCCTTCTTTAACAGTTAATACCCCTTATCCTCTATTTTTGCATTTCTTGTTCTCCTATCTGTTTGTCTACTGTTTGATCTATATGAAAACACTTTAATATTCTTTGGTTGGACTTGTGTTATCCTGTGGCGTTCCCTTATTGTTTTATTTTTGCCTTGTTGGGGCACTTAACCCAGCACATTTTGATTTGGTGGTTTTGTGTGTGTCCTCTTTTAACACATTGCACCAGAAAACATATCACATATCATTTGTCTTGCTATCCCTGTATAATGCCTCTTCAGGCAGAATCTTGATAATCACCTGRTTGAATTGTTGCCTCAGTTGGCTTCTAATATGTTGGAGTCTTAACACGTTGTTCACTGATCCACAGAATCTAAAAATCACCAAGATTAAAGGAAGAAAAATAATCTCTCTACTTGTGAGTAGCACATTAGCTCTTTGTTTCAAGAGTGTTTGTGATTCTTGTGGAAGCATTTTTATGATGTCTGCTCTAAAATTCTTGTCAGATAATTCCAGCCTCTCTGTCTTCTTGGTGTTGGCACTTGATAATTGTGTTTTCTCATTCAAGTTGTCATTGTCCTCATTCTTGGTCTGAAAGGTGATTTTCACTTGTATTCTAGTCATTTTGAGTATTACTTTGTGTGAATCTGGATTCTATTTAATCTAGAAGGCAGATTCACTATTGACCTGTAGTGTGTAGATCTGAGTTGGTGTGGGTATTCTGTTCCTTGTTGGGTAGTGCTAACACCCACGTAAGGGGATGTGGAGGTGAAGGGCTCACACACACACTGCTTCCACATTGTAGGATGTGGATGGAGACAGATTACATGGGAGGTGAGGAGGAAGCAGATGTCATTTAGTTCTACCTCTGACCACCGTGTTCTCCGCATGGACCCGGGGTGGGGTTATAACTTGAGCTCTCTGTTGAACCTTACCTACTTTACCCCTGAGGAGGAATTGGCTCACTGCCTGCTTCCAAGTGGGAGATAGATCTGCTCCCATTTTGTTAACAGACACCATGCTTGAAGATTAGAGTGTGAGTACCTGCTTATGCAAGAAGCCAGGAAGGGGTAGAAAATTAGCTTCTTACTTAGCTCCCCCCAGAAACTAGAGTGTCAGGAAACTGTTAGCATGTGGTTGGGCTTTTCTTGATCCTTTGGCTGAGGGACAGGCTTTCTTGGAGCTTTTCTGACCTGAGTCTGTTGGCAGTTCTGGGCTGGAGACTAGCACAGTATCCTGTCTGGGATTCGAAGAGGAATAAAGAACGTGGGAACTCACTACCATATTCCTCCTGAGGCCCCTTCACAATCTGACTTCTTTTGGCCACTTTCTTGAGTCTTCCTTGGCTTGTTCTAGGATTGATCATACTTCATCTTGTTTGGAATTGGAAGGCTCTACTTTGGAGGTTTGAAGTCTCCTGTTTGAAAGCTTTTATTCTCTCATGGCTATTGAATGTTAAGGAGAAAGTTATAAAAGATGATTTTAATTGTCAGGATCCTACCTCTTAGAGGAAAAATACTTATAAAGCAAAGTGGATGATTTTTAAAATTCCAGCATTTTCCAAAATTGGAAGGATTATGACTCAGTAATCTTAGTGGTTGATAACTTGTCAGTCTTCTCTGTCTTTTCAAGTCGTTAGTCTGTCTTTTTGCTATCATTCTGAAGATTCAAAACAAAAACAGTATTTCTGCCATTATTTCTGTCCATCAGAGTCAGGTAAAGATCCGATTGCTACTCAGGAAATCATGGTGCCTTAATTTTGGTGACTTCCATTGTATCTATAAGATAAGTTTTTCTCAAGAGTTGAAATTACATTAAAATATTAGTATTGGTAAGTTTCTGATAATTTGGGGGCATTGGCGTATTTAGAGATAAGGTAGCTGGTATTATTTCCTTAAGCTTGAGGTTTTTAAGCAGTGATGATGCCAAAGTTACATTTGAACATAGTGTACTGCAAATCAAAGCAGTTTGTATGGTATTTAAGATAAGTTACAGAGATCAAAACCCAGCAGTCTCAGCTTAGGCACAATCTGTGGCGCCTCTGATGTCACAGAATGTGGTCTGGTCCTTGGAATGTTCACAGATATTGGGAGTGGTGTGTAGGGAAGTAGATAATAATGCAGAGAAGTACGTGCCACATGGAGAGAGGGAGGTGCCTGTAGCTATGGATATAGAGTCCAGATCCGAGTAATACCAGTGGCAACAAGAACACCAGCTAAAACTCAACACACTTCGTGTGTGCTTTGTATTGTTCTAAGTGATCCCAGGGATGAGCACTCTTGGTCTTCATGGTAGTCAGGGGAAGTAACTATCCCTCTCTCCAATTTAAAGGTGAGGGGACCAGGGGCTGAGGCTGTGGCTCAGCAGTAGAGCGCTCACCTAGCACGTGCGAGGCGCTGGGTTGGATCCTCAGCACCACATAAAAAAACAAAAACAAATAAAAATAAAGGTATTGTGTCCAACTACAACTAAAAAAAATATTTTAAAAAATGAGGGTATCAAGGCACAAAGAAGTTAGGCAAATTCACAAATATGTATCTATTTGCTAAAACTTTTTTATAATCCCCAAATTCATATTCATGGTACCCTTGTGATCATCCATGGACATGCAGAGAGCGGTGAGAAAACACACACATTCCCAGTGGAAGTTGAAGAAGGCTCTTGTACTGGGGACAAGTGTCCTTTTGGTAGTCTATGTGGTGTCGTGTTTTTCCCATTGTATTTTTTTTGTTGTTGGTGGTGATTTCGCTGTTTGAAATGGCCCCAAATCATAGTGTTGATGTGTTTCTGAGCTCAAGAAAGCTGTAATATGGCTCATAGAGAAAATACTTGTGTTAGATGATCGTTGTTTGGGCATGAGTTACAGTGTTGTTGGCTGTAAATTCAGTGTTAATGAATCAACAATATATTTTAAGTAAGGCGTCTTTAAACAGAAACACATGTAAGCCAAGGTCATATATTGGTTGGTTGACAAAAATGTGACTAGAGCTCTGTTCCTCTATTCCCTCTATTTCCTCCAGGGCCAGTGACTCAGGATTTCCAGATTCACTAATTTCAGTGTTCACGACGACTTGAGAACATAACTACTGCTCTACTTGTCCTCGGTCACACCAAGTCCCTGGGTAGCCTCTTGCCCAATTTGTTTTATTTATTTTTTATTTATTTTATTTATTTTTTAAAAAACAGTTGTTGAGGTGTCATACACTGAGGACAATAAACTACACATTTTTAAAAATGTGTAGTTTTTTTGTGTTTTGATCTATGGCGGGAATCGAGGTGATGAAAATATCCATCACTTCAGTTTTTCCCATGCTCCTTTGTAGTCCTTCCTTACCCACCCTTTCTTGGATTTGTTTTCTCTCATTATGGATTAGTTTTTGTTTTCTAGAGCATTGTATAAAGGGAATMAATGTATTTTGTCTGGCTTCTTCCACTCAGCATATTTATTTTGAGATTATCTGTGTTAAAGCACATATCAATAGTTTGCTCCCTTTTATTGCTGAGTAGAATTAATGATGTCACAGTTAGATCATCCATCCACCTGGGGATGGACATTTGGGATGTTTCCAGGCTTTTGCTATTTCGAATACAGCTTCTGGAGGTTGCTTTGTCTTTATCTGTTTATCTTTCTTGGCTTATGGGAATGCCTTATCTATCCTTCTGTCATTCTTTTTGGATTTAGTCTCCTCTTGCTGAGGTCATGGACATCTGGTTTGGTGCATGACTGTGTGTCTGCTAGTTATCTGAGTTCTGGTTTAGGACGGAGTAGGGTTGAGTGGTGAGGAAGACAAAGTCTGAGGTAAGCTGAGGCACCAAGCCRTAGACCACTGTCTCTGACGGGGCTGAAAGTTCTGGATGCGTGTGGATCAGTTAATTATTCCTGAGTCTGATCTCTAGTGTCAGTGGCCAAATCACTGTGGACCTCAGAATCCACCTTTTATTGTATTGATTCCAGGTGTGGCATAAGGTGGTTAAAGATAATTCCTGGGAGAGCTGTCCTCAGATACCCCAGCCTTTGGTTCTGGAGGGCCCATTGTGGTCAGCATGAGCTATTTTGGGACCCTGGAGATCAGTGCAAGCTTTACTTTGGGGCTTGGGGTGGATCATTATCCAAGGTCCTGCTGTCTTGCCCCTTCTACTAAAATGACTAGCTACTTATACTGGGAACTCCTATAACTCTTGTGATACTAAAGCTTTGCATTTCTGGCATTGCCATGGACATGTAAGAGGGTGGGCCTGGGAAACTCTGGCATGATACTTATCCATATATTTATGTCCACTGTTGGTTATTTAAAACTGTAGGATAGCATGCTCTAGCACTTCTAGATGTCTCATCCCAAGAGTGACTCTTGCCAGACTCTCCTTCTGTTGTCACCATTAAAGCTTATCTTGAACAGGATTGCCCAGAAATGGAGACACAGAAGAAGAACAACCAACAGAAGCCTTGTCTGCGTGTGTACCTGCTTAGGTGGAAAACAAGAAAAGGTGCAAAAAAACAAAAAGTAAGGCATCTTGGCAATTTTGGTGTTGTTTTTTATTTTATTTTATTTTTTAATTTGTTTTTTGTTGTTGTTGCTGTTTTTTGTTGTGTTTTTTTTTTTTTATTTTATTTTGGTTTGTGATCTTTATCCAGTGTTTGCAGCTAATTCAGTTTATATATAGGTTTTATGTATATGCAATGTTTTATATGTACAGCATTGTCTCTCAAAATGTTGCTTATGGTCATCTTTAAAATTCATGATTAAAAAGAAGGTAAATTTTGCTAAGAACTTTCTGCCCTGGCAGCTCCTAAGGAAATTTAGTTCCTGAGGTAGCAAAATGAACTTGTTTCAGGGTGCTTCCCTGTGGAGAAGTGCCAGGGGCTTCTCTGTGTTTCCATGTATGATCTGAAGGCCAGACATTCCAACTGTCTTTAAGAAATAGGTTTTTCTTTTTTCTTTTCGAGCATGGGGACAGCCTGGCGACAATATTGCCAAGAGAGTCCTCAGATCAACAGGCGGTTACAATTCATTCTAAGTTGAAAGGAGGATTAATTTTTTGAAAAATTATAGTCTCAGTTAAGAGAAGATACAGGAATGTAATAACATGTGATGAGATTTATGATAAGAGGTACAACTGTGATTGAAAAGCTACATGTAAAACATTTCATGCTTTCAGTAATAACAGAGCTGTGGGCCTAAAGACGGGATGGAGACGTGAAGAGGGTAACGTTTCAAAGGTGCCCTCTTCTTTGTACTGTCAAGGGATTATTTCCCTTGGATGGATTATTTCATAGATGAGTTGATGACTGAGGGCCCAGTGTGTGTGTGATTGATGTGGCTAATTTCATCCGAAGATGATTACTTTCTTAGTTACTGCAGTTTTTAGAGCCAATGGAAGGGGAAGAATGTCCCTTTGAAATGACAGATCATGCAGATTTTGCCAACTTCATACCTAAAACTCCTGATGGTCATTTGTAGTAACTCTGGCTGTTTGGCACCAGTGTGGCCAGAATAGATAATCTTTTTTTTTAAATAAAAACATTTAAAATTTTATTTTATAATTGGACATTAGGAATTTTAAAATAAAAATCCAAGTTTTACATAAAGAAGATTGACATGTTTGTAAACATCTAGAACATTACAGTTTTAACAATTTCAGCCTGGTACAGATTAGATTCTAGACCCATTCCAACCTTTGTAGGTGACAAAAACCAGAGTTTTTGCATAATGTGTACTTTAATTTAGCATATCATTATAGAGTGTCTGACTTCTGATGATGGTTTTGAAAGAAATGTCCTTGCAACTGTTTCCTTTTTTGTGTCTGAGGGGTATATTGCTCCATTTTCTTATTGCTGTAACAAAATTCCTAAGGCTGAGTAATGTATAGAGAAAAGAGGTAAGATGTTTATTTGGCTCACAGTTTTGGAAGCTGAAACTTCAAGATCAGGTGGCACCATCTGCTTGACCTCTGATGAAGATCTCCTTGTCTGTATCACTACCTGGCAAAGAAGCTGAAGGGGAAATGACTGTATGTCGAAGAGGCCAAGAGCATGAGTGGCCTCACTTTGTAACAAGCCATTCTCTTAAGGACTCACCCCATAAGACCAGCATTAATCCCTTCTGAAGGCAGTGTCCTTGTGATCTAATTACTTTGCACTAATGTCCACCTCTTAAAGATTTGACCACTTCCCAGCTCTGCCACCCTGGAGTTAATGGTCCAGCACATGAACCTTTGGGGTACACGCTCAAGCCACATCCAAACCGTGGCAGTGGGAAACCTTTTATACATGGGTTTCACATTGTCCATGAAAACAGACTGTTGTGCCTCAAAGTGTGTGTGATCAAGATGCATATCATTATGCTTTACCCCAATTGGTCTCTATTCTCAGGATACTCTGGGGTTCAGAGGACCAAGTCCCAGCCACAACAGTGAAATGTGGGTGTTGCTTAATTCCCAAGCCTCAGAATCCTCAGGAGCAATAGCTGCTGAAAAATGAGTAGGGAAATATACAGATGGTCCTCAACTTAGATGGTCTCAGTAACCTCACCCCAATTTCTCTCTGCACCCAGCTGCTGCCAATTCTCCACAGAAAAGCCAGGGTGATCCTGTAAGGTGTGCTCCTGCTGCCCGGCTCCCCTGCTCATATGCTTGCAGTGATGACCACCCGCTTCTCTGATCAGTATAGTAGAGTGCTCACTGTGTGTTCTCTACTCCACCTGCCCAGGCAGTTCTTTGAGGGGCTGAAGGGTGGGAGGCTGGGAAGGGAAGAGGAGAATGGGGGTGGGGAATGGAAGAAGAAAACCCCAAACTGGGAGAGAAGGTAACAGCATGTTTGAAAAACACTTCCTCCCACTTCTCTTGAGAGCTCTGCCTTGCTAGATTAAAGGCTTAAAGACGTGTTGGGAGAAAGTAAAACATTTGGCTTTGTATAAAACCCAAACTTATTTTACTGTAAAGCCTTTTCTGTTTTTGTGGATTTGGAAGGAATTTGGGAAGCCACTCCAGTCTTCTGCTCTGCTTTGCTTGCTTCTTCTTCAAGAGCGTGTTTCCACGCCCCACTCCAGGTTGAAATTCTGCACCTGCTGCTTTGGCTTGGAGAGGACTCCTTGTCCTTCCTCAGCCTCGCCTACCACCAGTGACCAAGAGTAAGATGAGACCACGAAGGGAACTCTAAATGCCTCTAATAAGTTTTCAAGGRATCAGAATCACTCACAGCTCACTGTACAGTTTCTAGCTGTTTTAAAACAAAGCCTATCTTTACCACAGTTACAACCCTTCAGCCTAGGTACAGTCTAATCCCAAATATATAACCTTAGGGAAGACATACCCTTAGGGTGCAGGATCCAGAAGAGTTTCAGCCAAGTCAGATAATGGTGGGTGTGAGAGCCAGAGAGAAACACGGAAAGAGAGTTGTCTTGTACCTATGATCTTTGGAGAAGTTGGGAGAGAATTTCACTGGAGAGATCATGGTTTGAAGAGACTGCATTGATTTGAGGCATTGGAAGCAATTGGTGTAGAATAAGCTTTATCAACATTTGTAAGAAGAGTGCAGAGAGACTGAAGAGCCAGAGAGGAGAAGATGGTAAGAGAAAGTGTTCTTCTCCTTTCCTTCTGAATATGGGAAATGCGCACGAATGTTTAAAACCCAAGGGAAGGAGACAGTGGGGAGGGAGAGATCAGATACAGAGGGGCAGAGCAAAGAGCGCCATCATGGGGTGAACCGGAAGCAGAGGCTTTGGGCAGGATTCAGTGCTGGCAGAGGAAGCCTGAGGGGATTGGTGATAAGGAGAGGGGAGAATGATCTGTTCATCCTGAAGGGGTGTCCATTTTCTGCAGGGAAAAGGAGAATGGGATGGGGGAAGACTTAGGGTAATAGAAAAAAGTGTTGTGGGGAAAGAATAAATAACTGAGGATGAATGAAAGACGGCCAAAGAGTAGAAAGATTTCCTCAGAGTATGTTTTTTGGTGGTTGCCACTACCCTCCTTTGTGTTTCCTTAGAAAAGTCATAAAGCTTTTGATTTGGTGGGTTTTTCTCTGACATGAGGGTGTCCCTGTAGTTTGAATCTCAAATGTCTCTCAAAGGTACTTGTGTTAAAGGTTTGGTCCCTAGCTGGGCACTATTGGTAGGTTGTGGTACCTTGAGGAGGTGGGATAGTGGAAGGTCATTGGAGATTGCTCTTGAGGGGGATTGTAGGATTCCTGTCTCTCTCTCTCTTTCTTTCTTTCTTTCTTTCTTTCTTTCTTTCTTTCTTTCTTTCTTTCTTTCTTTCTTTCTTTCTTTCTTGCTTCCTGGCCATGTGGTAAGAGTGTTTTTACTCTACCATTGTGCTTTTCCCATGATGTGCTGCCTTGCTGTATGTCTAAAAGCAATGGAACCAATTCATTATAGAGTGGATGGAAGCTCCGAAACTGTGAGCCAAAATAAACCTTTTATATTTATATTGTTTATTTCAGGCATTTTGTTATAGTGATKGAAATCTGACTCACACAGGTAATGACTTTTGTTTCTTTGGAAACCTGATCTTCAGGATAAAAGAAAATAAGTCACTTATCCCTTCTTTAGAGAGAATCAGTGTCTTTACTTGACTTGTGAAGTATTCAAGTCTTGCCAAGAACAAAATGCTTTAATAACTTGTCAGAAAAGACTTTATTTATCAATTAAAATGGGTGTATTTTCTATTTCAGTTCTTTTGAAATATGAGCAAAACCTCATGCAACAAAATTGGATCTAATGGATTAATCTCATTCCTTTCTCTAGCACTACTACATCAAAAACAGGGACCACATCTTGATGGAGCTTAAAATTCCAGTGCTCTTGTTAAGACATGCAGCTTGAGACCAAAATAAGAGCCCCTGGAATTAGAGTCTCTTGGCACGATGACATTAAGTTAACTAAGATAGTAACCTGTCGTCGTCGTCTTTTTTTTTTTTTTTTTTTAAATTCAAAACCTGGTAACCTTTAATCTTCTAAACTATTATCAGCTTTTGCAGTATTATTTATCACTGATATATCACTGATACCGTGGATAAAAATTGATTGTTGGCTTCTATTGATTTTCAAAATTTATTAGTCAAGGGCAGCCGAGGGGCATACAGTGGCCTTGTGTCTTCTCCTAAATGTCTCTTTGGTTTGACAGTCATTGTTAGATGGACCTGTATGTCTTCTACAGTACACAAGAGAAAATGCCAATTAATTATACCAAGGAGACTAACCTAGTTGTCTGGGAAGACATTTCTTAACTGATTTAACCTGGGTTTGGCAGTTTGTGGGGAACTCTGCATGGCAGTGTAGCTTAGAACAGATACGTCACATTAAGATTATATGAGTCTCTCCAAGGTTCATGGGTAACTGATAGCACTTCCCCCAAAAGTTTTTAAGCCAACATAACATCTCCTATGTTGTAGGAGATGGAATTCTGGGATCTCAGATGGACCTTCATATTTCCAGTGTCTGGCGTGTGATTGGGACACTGTGAATCTTTTTTTTTTTTTTTTTTCCTCCACACAGCCGTCTGTGGA